GGGACTCGATCCCGGGACTCCAGGATCATGACCCAAGCCGAAGGCAGTCGCCCAACCAACTGAGCCACCCAGGCGCCCCCTTCCATGCCATTTTATTTCTTTCTGCCTCCCTCCCTCCCTATCTTTTCCCCTTCCCCTCCCCCTTCCTCTCCCTCAACTTTTCTTTATGTATCAAAATGCCTTTGTCTACAGGTAATAGAGGGCCTAACTCAACCTGGCTTAAACAATAAGGACACATATAAGCTTACATTATTGGAATAGGTAAGGTGGTCTAAGGGTCATCTTATTTTAGTGTCTTCAGCTCTATTTCTCTGAGGTTCCATTATTTATACTCTGTGCCATGGCTTTATCCTCAGAATGCTTTTTCTCATGGTAATAAAATGGCTGTTCCTTGCCTCAAGCTCAGCGTTTTGCAGAGGAAGAATAGAGTTGCTTCTAGGAGTGTTGCCATAATAGTGAGGAAATTTCTTTCTCAGACGCCTCTAGCAAAGAGACATCTCCTCATGTCTCTGGCTTGAATTGGAACTCATGCACATTGCTCAGTCAGTCCCTGTGGCAGAGAATGTCTCTTACTGAATAGCTTAGGTCTGCCAGTTTCTGAACCAATCACTGTGTTGAGAATGGGATTGCCTTGATTGTCCTGGAATAGTGGTTCTCAAAGTCTGCTCTCTGGGGCAGCAGTAGCATCGCCTGAGGACTTGTTAGAGATGTAATTTTTCTGACCCCATCCAAAAAACTCTGGGGATGGGGCCCACTCATCTGTTTTAATTAGCTCTCTTAGGTGATTCTGATGCGCCTTAAGGTTTGAGAAAGTCTGGCTAATAGTAATCAGGATCCAGTTCTGGAGCTGAAGTCAGTCCCCTCAAATGTTATATACTGCAGGAAAGAAGGGTCGTAAAATGGGTGTTTGGAGAGACAGCCTCAGTGACCACTACCCCTTTATAGCACTCATCACAATTTCTAATTATGCATTTGTTTGTGTCGTTATTTGTGTAATGTCTCTGTCCCTTACAACACTTCATACTCTGTGGTGACAGGCACTCTGTCTGGCTTACCACTGTAGCCCTAATGCCCAGCATAGTACCTGTCCGGTGTATGGTAAGTACTTAATGAGTTCTGGATGAGAAAATAAATTGCTTCAGTTCCATTTGTGTTCTCTCACAGCTGGGGGTGATATGTGTGTGCACGCCTACCTCAGTGGGCAGCCCTTTGAGGAATCTCAGCTGAGCATGCTGGCTTGTTTCCTTGTCTACCACTCAGTACCAGCTCCATGGCACCTGCCGTCTATAGGACTAGAAGGTAATTGCAAATCTAAATCCTCTTCAGTACCTTTATTATTGACTCACTTATTTTTTAAGTTTCTTGGTTGGAGGCACTTCTGGTGAGTTATTTTCTCTAGTTAGGTTTTGGTCTTCATTCATGTTTGGCTGTTATTGTTGAGAACTTTTTCTAAAAAGACGATCTGAACTTTATACATGCATAAACTTTTATTTACATTCAGAAAAGGATGGGTTCTTCTTCAGAGAGCCCCAAACACCAGTATATACTAATAAATAAATTAAATGGTTATGTTATTTTTCTTTCTTAATTTTTATTAAAGTTATTTTTATTTTTATTTTTTGGGGTTTTAGTTTGGATGTTTCTTTTTAATCACATAATCTTAATTTCTAATATTATAAAGCTTTAAAATGACCAGGTACCTGATTTTATATGAATTTGAAAGTTTTTGTAATACAGAGTTTAAAATATTAGCACCTCACTATATTTTTCAGAATATGTAATCAGATATGGAGTTTGCCCAGTAACCTGAATCATAAAATATAATTAATTCAGAGCACCTTTATTATCACTTTCAAATTTCTGCTTATTGAGGATTCAAAAATTGTTTTTAAGAAGAGCAAAGATTGCTCCATTTAATCATTTAAAATTTAATAACATTACTAGTTTATTGCTGTTTTGACCTCAGATAAAAATGCACTATCTAGAGACTTCTAGTTATAGCCATGATGGAATTGCTTATATTGGACTGACTCTCCCACAAAAACAAATATAAAAGTTTGACAAACTACATAAAACAGCTATTTAAAGGAATTGGTAGCAACCATGCTGGCCAGACTTGATTGAGGGAAGGGAAGCATAATGAGGAAACTCCATATTTACTCTGGCTTTCTCCCAGAGGCATTTGTCAGTTCATAGCACAAGAAGTAGAGTCCCAGCAAAAGGCAGCGGTGCTGCTGGGCAGAGTAGCCAGAGGTTGGGTTAACAATTGCCTGAGAATCTAGAACTTGAGTTAAATCCCTGGTAGGAGGGAATAATAATAATAACTCAAAAACCTGGACGTACTCTTTCCTTGAGACACATACCAAATCTTACACATGCACAGGAAATCTAACAGAAGAAATCTAGCAGAAGCCAGGAGACTAAAAATGTGAGCAAAGATTTCAGCAATAACATAGGGCCAGGGAGACAAAGGGTAGCGTTCCAGGGCTGTCAAGGTGTGAAGTGGCTCTGATAAGCATCCCAGCCATTCTGATGAAACCACAGCAGGACCAAGCCTAGGAGTAAAGGTAAAAAGTGAAATGGACAAGACCTAAAGTTAGCCTCAAGCAGAACAGAGGAGATCTGTTTGCATTCTGCCTGTCTTATAGAAGAAACCATAACCTTCTTAGGAGGAACAAAGTATATCCTGAACCTTTATACTTTTCAATACACAGTATCTAGTGTTGAATAAAAAATTAGAAGACATAACAAGAAAAAAGGTAACAGAAACTGACCTATATGTAATTTAGATATTATAGTTACTAGATTTGGATTTAAAATAACTATAACTGGCGTGCCTGGGTGGCTCAGTGGTTAAGCATCTGCCTTCGGCTCAGGTCATAATCCCAGGGTCCTGGGATTGAGCCCCACATCGGGCTCCCTGCTCCGCGGGAAGTCTGCTTCTCCCTCTCCCACTCCTCCTGCTTGTGTTCCCTCTCTCGCTGTGTCTGTCTCTGTGAAATAAATAAATAAAATCTTTAAAAAAAAAAAAAGAATATTTCCAAGAAAATAGATGAAAAGATAAGAGAATTTCACCAGAAATCTGGAATCAATAAGAGTTAAATGGAAATTCTAGAATTGAAAAATATAATTGAAATTAAGAATTCAGTGTATGGATTAAGTAGCGTATCAGACGCAGCAGGTAAATGAACCAGAAGGCAGGTGTGTAGAAAGTAAACAAATTAAGCACAGAGAGGATGCATTGAAAATACAGATAAGGAAAATGGTGGAACATGGTGAAAAAGTCAAACATGCACATAGTTGAGATCCCAGAATAAGAGGAGAGAGAAAATGAGGTAGAAGCAATGTGTGAAGAGACGAAGGTTAAGAATTTTGAAAAATGGAGAATGGACATCAACTTATAGTGAACCCTAAGCAGGATAAATATGAAGAAAACCACACATAGTCACATAATAGTCAAACTACTAAAAATAAAAGAGGAAACAATTTTCAAGCATAGACTTCCATTTCCAGCCAGGATAGGGTAACAGGGATCTTATTTACTGTCCTGCGTGGAACCAAAAAGACTGGACAATGCTTATGAAGCAGTGGCTTTTGACACAGTGTATACTGGGTAATGAAGAACAGTGATCCCTGAGAGATGAAGAACAATGTGATAAGCCCTATGATTGCCCCAGCTTATAACCTTGAGAGGTCCCAGACTGTGGGGAGGAAGCAAGAACCTAGGTGGAGCCTGGGAGACTCCGTGAGTTGAGGTGATACTGCTGAGAGTACAGGGAGGCCAGAGTAGCTAAGAGTTTACAAGATAAAATGCCAGAGAGGGGAGAGCTACACAAAGAGAGAATGTCAGACATCTGCAGAAGGTCCCCCTCAACTATCAGAAGAGCACTTACTGGTCAGCACATGCATGTGAAGAAACTATTTGAGGTTGGGGGGACAACTGTCTACATGGGTTAGAGGACACATTACCAATTGCTTATACAGGTTCAGGAATAGTGCCTGTTCCCACAACTTCATAATTTAAGGGGCCATAGATACTCAGAATGGTCTTGCTGTAGTAATGGGAAATATTTAGCTGTAGACTAAATAGACCTGAGTGTATTCTGGTCCCACCTAGCAAATCTTAAAAGCATGGCACTAAAGGATCAAACTGTTTTTCAAGAAATGTAATTCTAGAACAAAGCCCAAGAACATAGAAATACAGAAATATCCAGCACCCAACAAGGTAAAATTCACAATATCTGGTATACAAAGAAACAGGAAAATAGGACCTATAATGAGATGAAAAATAATTACAACAGACCTGGAATTGACACAGATGTTTGAATTAGCAGATGAGGACATTAAGACAGTTAAAAGAGGGAGTAGTTTACAATTGTATGTGGTGGGATGGAGGCAAAAAGGAAGATGATGCTTAATAGGATTTTCAGGTTACACACTTCCTACTTCTTTAGAGCAGTGGTTCTTTACCTTGACTGTGTATCAGAATCACCTGAGCAGCCTTCAGACCTCCAGATGTCCAGGCTGTACTCCACATAATTATGTTGGAATCTCTTTGGGACCATGGTTGAGAACCTTTGCTTCTTAGAGGTTGAGGCATTAGATTAACTTCTGTGTTACTCATTTTAAGCCTGTGTTCTGTTTTTAGATACATACTGGAGTATATAGATTATGGTAGTTGAAAGCAGATAGGCACATTTATTAATTATATTTAAGTAATATATAATTAAATATTAATAGTTTCAGATGTGGTTACAGGTCACTGAAGTACAAAATGGATACATTTACATTTTTATATCAAATTACTTTTTACAGTGTATTTGGGAAATTAATAATTTAAATATTATCTTTGGGGAATTGTTTTCAAAGGGAAGAATGTCAGCTTTAAATGTGATTGTGTGTCTGAAGCTTCCTTGAAAGGGGTGTACAGCTGAATTTATTTAGAAGTGTGACTACCCTCCCCCCCCATTTCCATTTCTTTAGGGAGCACAAGCTTTGCTGAACTCCTCTTCAAATTTAAACAGCTGAAAATGCCAGTGCGAGCTTTGCTAAGATTGGCTCCTTTGCTTCTTGGAAGTCCACAGCCAATGGTTATGTGATCAGCTCTGGTGGTAAAACTACCCTGAAGCGTGACTTCTGCACAAAAACATGACCCAACAACAAAGCTAAAGAAACATTTCTAAGTTTTATAATATAACTAGGGGGAAATGAGCTGCACAAACCTCAGTGTATTTTAAAATCCAAGTGTTTTAAATATTCCAGATGCTCTGTTGCTGTCAGCATTAACATTATATGATATATAGAAGTGAGTTAAAATTTACTTTTGTAAATAAAGTTTTTTGGTTTGTTTTCAAAACTCTTTTTTTAGTATATGTGCTGCCGAAGCAAGCACTGTTTTCAAAACTCTTGATGATTATTTTAGTTTGGGATTTCAGAGAATAGAATAGTGGGGGCTGGGGTGGATATTCATTTTTAATCTTTCAACTATGGTGATTCAGATGAAATGACTATGTTCAAATCTGCAAGGTTTTTAAAGAAGCTCTGTAATCAAGTTTTACTTTCTGCAGCAAGAAAATGGCTTTTAGCATCTCCTCTAAGATGTCAGAGTTTTCCTGCCTAAAATTAGTGTGTACTTTCTGTGACAGTGCCAGGCATCCTCATAGTATGAGCAGTCACCTTCAACAGGAGGACAGTTACACCGTAATGAAGAATTGCTCAACATGAAGCCTGCTCTAAGTAGAGAAATACGCAATTTCCACTATAGAGAGGTCTTCAAAAGTTGCATTTAAAAATAAATGATGGTCCATTTCCACCCAAGATTTAGAGAATGTACATCTGTATCAAGAGTTTGTAGACCAAATAGTGATGAGAGATATTCACATAGAGGTGCCTCCAGCTTCAGGTTTCCCGTATAGGAAGAAGAAGACTCCCTGCTGTCCAGATCCTGACATGAGCCCTGTGCTTCCTGAGTGGCCAGTGGGACCCTAAGCTGCTAGAAACGGCAAGATTCATTCAGTGATTTCACATGTCCACATCCTGAATTTTGCTGTTTAGCTTGAAATGTAAAAATCAAAGCAAATAGAAATGTTTCCATTGAGATTTTGGCAAAAACCCATGTGACATTTGCTTCTGCGGAGGGGAAGGGGGGCGGGGAGGAGGGCATGCCTCTAGAGGCGTCTCTAGACTCAGTATTCCATCTGCATGCTTGCCCCAGGGACTTGGTCCTGCATATACAGCAAAGGCAAGATGTGGGTGCCTGGGAGGGCAAAATGTGCTTCCCTTTCACACTTAGCTAGTTTTTCTTATCATTAAAACTAAAAGAAAAAAATTAAAACAGATTACAAAAATTCCATTTGAATCAAGATTTAAAGAACTCAGTATCTGGGCAACTGTTGCTATCTTCAGTCTCAGTTGTTTATAATTTGTATTCTTTTCTCTGAAGGAGAACTTAAGAGACCATTACTTGCACACTATGTATTCTCATATATGAGGGAGAAGAGTCATTAGAATGTTGTCAACAAAAGCAAAAATCAGGCTTTCTAAGAGAAAGAGCAGAATAAAAGATTGCAGATGGTCTGGAAATAGCATTGTCTTTATAGTTTGGACCTAATGGTTAGGTGACAGGGAGCAAAAGGTATTCTGGGCAGTCTTTTGAATAGACATGATAGGATCATCAAAGAAATGAATTCTAGCTATTTATGGGTTTTCAAAAAATTTGGAGAGTAGCTCTCACCATCCAGAATATTTCAGCCTCCTCAAAGTTAAGACAAGGGAAGATCTGGAGAAGTGCGTCCGGCTCCTAAGGGTTTTGGCCCAAAATTGGCTGTCACTTCCAGTTACAGCCTGTTGGCAGGAAGTCAGACTGATCCACCTCGTGTGACTACTCTTCCATGTGTCCATGAAGGGGAGGAGAACCAGACGCTGGTGAGTACTAGTTACTTTATGTCTGTCACAGTATGGTTCCTAACTTATAATTCCCCACGTTCATCTTTTCTACTTACATGGCTATAAATGCTTCCATGGATGGACATAATTAAATAGTAGTTACACACATGCATACTCAGAGAGATTATTGTCTCCCTGAGGGGAGGGGGGCTGATATCTGTGCCCCTCCCTTGAGTAAGATGTCCTGTGAAGAGGTGAAGGCCTGAAATTGTGGGCAGCTCTGAGGCATGGACGCCAGACCCTAGCAGGAGTGACCATTGGGTTAAGCCCTACTGCTTCTCAGTGCTGCCTGATCTTGAGTAAGGCCACTTTTTTTACCCTTTGTCTAGAAACCAGCCGACTTCATAGCTTATGGTGATCCCAGCTCAGAGATCTTCTGACAGCCCAGAGGAAGCAAGGAGGAGGGGACCTCTCATTGCTCAGCTTGATGAGCAGTGTAGAGACCCACTTTGGTGGGAGGCCAGTGTGCCTGTTGGGCACAGGCCAGAGTTTGGAAGCCAGGATTCTGAGTAGAAGCCAGAGCATGTGAAGCCAAGGCAGGAATTGCCAGAGGAATAGATTTGTGTGTCAACTGTGTGTGTGACATGGATTCTGAGGAAAACCATGTCAAAACCCAATCTGAGGACAGTAGTAGACCAAAGTCAGGAGAGGATGCTGGGAGCTGAGTGACACTGGAAGGCCATGGACCATTTTGAGATCCAAACCAGGAAGACTTAGTTGGCAGCACACAGACTAATATGCCTCTTGTATATAGGGTTGGGGGCTTGTCTTCTGGGTTCCTCCATCCTCATACCACGTTTTGTAGAAAATGCCTAGTTGTATGAAGATCTCTCCAATTTAGCTATGGGGAAGGGAACAGGATTTGGTCACCTCTGTACCCCCAGTGTCTGCAGACTTTAACCAGCAGTGGAAGGAAGCAGAGGGGAGGTTGGGGGGGCAGCTCCTAAGAGGGTGTACCCAGGCTGGAGGCCTCTGTTAGCACTTAGCAGCCACCCTGCAGATACCCATCTGGTTTACAAAGGTTCCCAGGTGACTGGCTTTTCCTGCTTCCCAGGGCCAGCCAGGTTTCCCCCACTCTGAAATACATTACTTGCTTCTCATTAGTCACAAGCGTGGGAAAGTCTTTATTGCTAAATTGAAAGAAAAGCCCCTAAAACCATATCCTTAATTTTTGCCTGTGGATAAGGATGGACTTGCCTGTTGGCCATCCTCTTGCTTTGCTCCATGTTCTGTCCTTGAATGAAAGGGAGGCCAGGATGGGGAGGAAGGGTCACTCAGATTGCAGGACCTTCTGTCTTCAAGCTGCTGCATAAAAGATCAGCACTGGACGATCTCTCTGCCCCTCTTTCTACAGCTGAGCCCCGTGAGGCTCAGGAAGGGAGGTGGCTGGCCCAAGGCTGCTCTGCTCTCATCACAACCCCTATAACAAGCCTGGGCTTTCAGACCATACTGCTTCTAACCCCCGAATCTGGCTCATTATTGCCTCTCTTAGTGCAGTAGATCTAAGAGGCAGATCAGCATAAATTAGAAGGGCGTTGCTCCGGTTTGTGGACCCTTCCCTTCTCTGTGCATCTTTAGAAAAACAAAGACCTTTGTGTAATTTCTTGGAATTAGATTGAGTTAGTCTGTGTGCTGCTTTCTTGGTCATATAACAACCATCTTAACTTAAAATGTCTCTTTTAGCTGAAAATATTTCTTCCTATTCTGTGGTACATTATAAAATGAAATAGGAAATTTAGAAAAAAATTTGTACTAGATTCAATAAAATCAGTGAAAATCTATAAATAACTGCATGTTCATAATTTCCACTGCTTTTACTCCAGTACTTAGGTGTGAAATCTGTTGCCTTGTCTCTAGTTAATGGATCCAACTCTGGTCTTACATTCAGGTATGCTGCCTTGGGGAGCTGTAGTCCATGGGCTTCCAGAACCCAGATGTACTAAATCATGATCTGGGTAATCATGTCACTGGGGGGATTTATCACAGGGACAGTGTTTGGAAGCTAGTTAATGCCACTCGTGTTCTTTCATTTGTCTTGAGTTCATATTTGTGCCTATTTTTCATTTAATCAAGGCTTTTGTTTGCTTACTGTGTACCATTCCAGAGATTAAGAAGATAGTCTCATCAACTGGAAATGTGGGTAAATGTACACGGCTCTTCAATAATCGAAGAATCATTAGCAAATCCGTTGTAATTAGCATCCCTAGCTGCAGTCTCTCTGCCTGGTAAGATCTAGATGAGATGAGCACCAACCCCCACTTGATGAAATTTCTGCAAAACCCCAGAGGGTGGTGCGGGTGCTGTCTTGTGTCATCTTGCTCCAGACTCCCTCTCTGCTTCTCTAGTTAATTTTCGTTCGGCTCATCTCACTGTGCCCTCTGCCTGGGCCAGATGTCAACTCAGTATCTTCAGCACCTCCTCCTCTCTTTGCTTAGCTTTTTCCCATGTGGGGCCAGGTAAGAGTGTGCCACTGGGAGGAGCCAGTGAGTGGTGCCCAGGGGAGGCCTGGAGGTGGAAGAGGCAGCCAGGCCATTGCTCTCCTTCACTGGTCACGGTCTGGCAGGAGGGCAGATGGTGCATACCTGGCTGCGGGAAGCTACCACCAGCTCTGACAGATCCAGCCCTGGATTCTGTAGTGTTGCAGGGGCTTCTCAGTCCTCTGCTCCCTAAACATTTCCGTCTACTTTGCTTCATCAACACCCTTTCTACTTGGGTTCCTGAGCAAACCCTGTGCTGTTAAGTGGGACACGACACAAGTGTGAACTCAGCCCCATCCCCAAGTCCTGTAAAAACCACTCACCACCACTTGGTCTCCCCTGATTTTGCTCATAGAATTTCCAGCCCTTGGCTATCTCTTTAGCTCCCAGTGCTGTTCACTTTCCTTTTCCATGATCAAACCCTCAGGTGTGCTCTGACACTCCCAAGATTTTGTGACAGTCCTATAATCCATGTGCCAACTCGTCTGGATGGTACCAACCTCAGGCCATAGTGGCAGTGACCCCCCCGAGTGGCCTTGGGTTTCTCCCTAACACACTGAGAGGACTCACTGACTAAAGGAAGAATGTACAGTCTTTATTGCTAAGTAACTGGAACGATGTGGGTTGACCGTGTATTATGCCATACTTCTTGGGACTGAGTCACTAGATGCCTGAGTGAGGAGAGAAACAACGTCGTAGCCTAACTGTTTCTACCTTGGCCTTCTGGGGCTGCAAGGACTAGGTGTCACAGACAGTGAGTACTGTGATTATTTGCAACTGGAAAGTTCCAGAAGACTCAAGAAGAAAATGTTAAGCCCTCATGGGATAGACAGGGTGTATTGCTTCTTGAAAGGAGTCAACCTTTTACAAGACTGGATATTCTGTCCATGCTTGACTGTGAGGTTCCTGGGAACCTTGGAGTTACAAGCAGTTT